AAATGTCCAAAATAGGCAAATCCATAGAAACCGAAAGTAGATTAGAGGTTGCTATGGGCTGGAGGAAGAGAGGGTGGAACAGGGAGTGACTGCTAATGGCCATGGAGTTTCTTTGGGGGATGATGAAAATGTAAAAATTAGATATCGGATCAGACACAGTGGCTCATGCCTATAATCCCAGCACTTTGGGAGGCTGAGGCAGGAGGATCACTCAAGTCCAGGAGTTGGAGGCTGCAGTGAGCTATGATGATGCCTCTGTACTCTAGCCCGGGAGACACAGCAAGACCCTGTCTCAAAAAAAAAAAAATTATATACGGTTAAAAACTCAGTTCCTCAGTTATCCCAGCCACATGTGAAGTGCTCAGTAGCCACATGTGGCTACACAGCTACTGAACTGGACAGCACATATAGAGATCACTTCCAGCATCATAGAAAGTTCTACTGGATGGCGCAGCCTTAGATGAATGGATGACAGGCCTTACCATGTGACCGCAGCCTCCCTTTCAAGTCTCAGCTACTTTCATGCTCCTTTACACACCCACACAAAAGGCTTCTGCCACAGATTATGTGCCACCTCCAAACACATCCTCCATTCTCACTCTTCCCACTGGAATACGGTTTTCCCCTTCCTGGTCCATAGATACCCTACTCATCTTCATCAGTCTTTAAAGTCCTATCCAAAAGTTTCTTCCTCCTAGATCCCCGTCTTCCTCTTGCCCTCACAGAGTCAACTGCTCCCACTGTTCCTTGTTTGCACTTCCATGTCAGCATTAATCCCTCTGCATTACAACTCTGGATGTGTGTTATCTGTCCTTCCCACAAGATTACCAGCTCCTTGAGGACAGGGATTCTGTTACTCACACGATGGTTCCCAGAGCCTGACAATAACAGCCTGCTGCAAAGAGTAGACATTTCTGTAAACGTCCATTCTTTGAATTCTACTGTATTCCACTGAAAGGATTTACAGAAACTCAAGGTATTGATTTTACACAAATGCTCACTTTGGTATATCCAACAGACTAAGAAAATAAAGTAGATTCGAAATCTGCAGTCTTACTTCCACTACTGCACGAGAAGGAATGATGGTGACCACACTGAAATACCATTTGTACGAAAGGAAAATGGAGCAGCGCTTCCAGACTGAAATACTGAGGCAAAGAAGGCAAGGAAAGGTGAGGTGGGAGGCCAAAGGGCATACTATTGAGGGTTAGTGGAAAGAAACGGCAGGAACTGGGACCCCCATCCAGCTCAAAGTTTTAAGCTTGGTAGAGGAAACGTAAGGACTACATCTCCAGAGATTTGTGCCTAGACCACTGGCTGGGTTACCTGATGGAAAAAGATATTTCTACCAAAACTTTATTTTAAATAATACAGTCAAATATTCTGGTTAAATCTAAACAATAGGAAGAAAGAAACTCTACGTATCTCAGTCATAATTTT